TGTTAACCCCCAGCAAGACGCACTAGTTATCTCAGTTTTCTTGTGATCTATCATTTCTAGTGGCTGCTAATACCTGTCATATAATCCCCCCTCCAGTTGCCTGGCTAAGAAACATGTGATCCCTTTATATCCTCCAACCCTCCAGCCAATAAATAATGACCGATCCTTTGGTGATGGAAAGAAACTTGCTTGTCCATTATTAATAATTTTTCAATAAACTCATGAGAAAGGCTACAGTTTGAGAGTAGTGAATTATTTGGTTGAAGCAAAATTTTCTGAATTAGACTGGCTCGAATCCTCATTAATTAACCACTTGCTACGATCTCCCTCAGTCCCTAAAAGACGGTGTATGGTGCTGACATCTTTCTCGGCCATGCCGCCGGACATTCTGGCGTTTGTCTCTTTGCAATACACCATTATATTGATACGGCGGCCATCTTGAATCCTTTTTTTTTTAAGTTTTATCGTTTTTGTTTTGTTTTTGTTTTAGAACATTTATAATTCTTACTTGAAAACAATACACTTTTTTTTTCTTTACAGAGGGTCGTCTAATTTACAATGCTACTAATTTTTTAATCAATTTATTTAAACTATATTTTAGATATCACTATTTCATCCGTTCGATCTTGAATTCTATTGTTTTAATTAAGACATGGGATGCCGAGGGGTCAACCTTTGGGAAATGTATAGACTGCACAGCTGTCATTATGYCTTCATATAACTGTAAGGTTTTCAATGATAAGCACATCTAAAAAGCAATTAAATTTAGTGGTAGTTGGAACAATATTGTGAAACACCAAGACTTCAAATTATTTGAAAACATAACCACGTCACTCTATATTTTATAAATGTTCTACGTGTTTGTCCCCTCGGCATTCCATAATTCAAGATGGCCGCCGTATCAGTAAAAAGGTACATTCTTTCGCACTTTCATCACCTTTTGCGTGCGGTATTACTGAACAGAGCATGACAAAAGCTGTAGGTAATAGACCTCTAAAGCTTCGGTTTAATGTTTTACCATTTTAGACCACGTGCCATTCTCTTCAAAATAAGNAACGCAAAGAATCATGGTCGTCGGAGGGGGTCAAATCAACGCAAATGCACCTAAAATTATTCTAAAACCCGTATCAATCCACGAAGAGAAGTAGAATAGCCAGCAAACGCTCAGAATATTTTTTAGTACATATTAACACATATTAGATCCGACAACCAGGCCATTTTAGATTAAACTCTTTCACTAGGAGCAAATTTTGTTGAATTTTCTATTGGATTTGGCGATTCTATCCCCACATAAACAAGCAGTGACGCCATAGTGAAATAGGGCAATTAAGACAAAAGGGGTTTCTATTGGGTAATGTATAGAGTGCACAGCTGTCAAGGTGTCTTCATATGACTTCACGCTTTTCAATGAGAAGTTACATCTAAGAACCAATTGAATTTACTGGTAGTTGGAACAATATGCGAAACACCAAGACTTCAAATTATCTGAAAACATAACCACGTCACTCTATATTTTATAAATGTTCTACGTGTTTGCCACCTCGGCATTCCATAATTCAAGATGACCGCCGTATCAGTAAAAAGGTACATTCTTTCGCACTTTCATCAACTTTTGCGTGCGGTATTACTGCACAGAGCATGGCAAAAGCTGTAGGWAATAGACTCTTAAAGCTTCGGTTTAATGTTTTCCAATTTCCGACGACATGCCATTCCCTTCAGAATAAGTTTCTTTGTTTCAGTCGTAACCATATTCACGTGTCTTCTCGTGCACAACCGTCAAAAAAGAAATGATACTTTAAGGAATGACACGTGGTCTGAAAAAATAATTACGCGCAAGCCGAATGTCTATTGAATAGAAGAAACCTTCCCGCTTTTCACTCATTCATTTCTATTTTCTTTCAGATCACTGGTCGCCCTTTCTCTCATTCTCTCCCTTCTACTTTTCAAACCCGCACCGCTGTAAATCCTAGACGAGGTAGACGCAGCCCTCGATCTCTCACACACTCAGAACATCGGTCAAATGGTGAAATCCCACTTCAAACATTCACAGTTCATCGTAGTCTCACTCAAAGACGGCATGTTCAACAATGCCAACGTTCTCTTCAAGACCAAGTTCGCTGATGGCGTCTCCACAGTGACTCGCTTTGCGCAGAATCCATCTAGCCGTGGAGGTGACCATACAACGGGCAAAACCACAGCCAAGAAGGGTCAAGATAGATCAAAGAGAGTCAGGATAGATACGACGCCACAACCGCTGACTACCACTCAGTCTTTAACGTCTTCCTAGACCTACTTCTTTGCGACCTTATACAAAGATCTATAATTTCTTAAAATATATTGTAAAAATATCCGCTAAGCATGGTTTGAGTTGGTTAAGTTCTTGGGTTGCAAAATGAGACGTGACAGCCATGTTGGAAGATACCTCCAATCAAGAATATGTCGACTATGATGTCATATCAGGAGTGTGCGATCGAGTTCTTTTGGCGCGTGATCAACAATGGCTCAGTTATTTAATACATTTTGTTCGTGGCTCGTGTTTGATCTCTTTCTCTAGGCACGTGGAAATCCTCACCGTCATATAAAAGTAACATCTAATAACCTGCTGTAACTGAGAACTTAGAGGCTAGGAGATGTCATAATATATAAAATACCTAATGCATGTTTGTGCGATATATCACAAACAAATGTAAGAATATTGATTGTAAACAATTGTCCGTTAAGTCATATTAGTCT